TGGGTCACAATTATTGTTTTGTAATATATTTAGTTACATCAGAAACCCAGACCGACTTAATTGGAATATTCATCAGGATGCCAAGAATGTGTACTTCTAACAATTTTCCAGGTGATTTTGATTAACGGTAGTTCCCAATCCTGGCCGCCCTGGACCTACAGCTCAGGGAGAACTTGTGTCTGAGTATGATGGGATCACTGTGGTAGAGAATAATTTCTGAAAACAAAAGTTATTTGTCCTTCTTAGTCAGCCTGATGTTTTCCAGAGCTTTTGAAAAGTATATATCCCAGTCTTTCAATAGGCAGAGAGCTCAGAACTTGGCCTTGAGTTCGTTCATGGAAATAAGTAGTCTAGTTTTAATACTACCTCTTCAGCCTCTGGCCAGTGAGCTAGTTTTAATAGTAGGGCTTGGGAAAGGGCTAAAAATAGAGCTGGGGAAGCAAGCAGAGCCAGCGGGTCCACTCACACTGGAAAGCTGGGATGTGGAGAGGAAGCCTTACTACACAGATAACTCAGGCAGACACAGGTTGCAAGGCAAGACATCTACACCAATGTCATCAGAAACTGAAATGAAAGACAGCATAGAACTTCCAGGGAGAATGGCTGAGAATCCCTAAATTGTGTTTGATGACCATCTAGTTACTAGTTTCATTAGTTGTGAAATTAAGAGGTTCTGCCTCTTACATGACTGCTAATAAATAAATCTGAACAAAGGTTGTTGCCTGTAATCTCTGTATCTTTCTGGATGATTGTCTCTAATGAAGAGGGAAAAAGTTAGGACTTGCTGTTCTGTGATCTACCTCCTCTCTCTCCAAGGATCCACTGATTCTGAGGGCAAAATTTGTTAACTGAACCTCATTTCTGACACACACAGCAGGAAACAGCTTTAGCTTCCCAGGTCTTCAAGGTGGTCCATCCATTTCCACCGCTTCATTTTCCCTTTGGGCAATTATGATGAAATAAAGCTATGCTGTTCTATTTTTTCCCTCTTCTAGGTGTAGAGGTGTGACACTGAAGGAGAAGCAGTGTCCCTCCACTTCACCTGGAAAGGAGAAAAGAAAATAAGGAGTTGGTTGTAACACAGAAGCTCAACCACGATGGTAGAGGTGGGAAATGTTTATTGCTTTCTGTGGAAGGGACACTCGGCATCTTCAGGATCATGGACAAAGGGAAAAGTAACGAAGAGGGTTTACAATTTCTCCCTTCCCCCTTCTTTCCTTTGGGATCCCAATCCCCTCCCCTCCCCTTCCCCTCCCCCATCCTGCTCTCCTCCCTTCACTCCCCTCCAGCCTCCTCTCCCTTCTGCTACCCAGCCATCTCCTGCCTTCTCTTTTCTCCTGCTCTCTTCTTCTCTTGCCTGCTTCCCTTCCTCCTTTTCCTTCCCCTTCCCTTCCCGGTATTGAACCCAGGGTCTCCTGTATGCTAGGCAAGCATCCTACCGTGGACCCCAGCCTATCAAGTATGCCTTGCTGTGGCCAGGAGTGCTGTATTATGTACAACATAGTGTTTTATTAGACGTGTTGGCGGATAAGCTTACTTTACTAGAAAAAGAAGGAAAAGCCAATTCCTAGAACACTGCCATTGATTTTTAAAGCAGGAGAAAAAGGGGAAAGTTTTAGTAATTAAGACTAAAAACTATGGTTTCTCTTTATCTCAAATGTCTGTGTCCTTCCATCTCCCTTCCTTCCTTCCTTCCTTCCTTCCTTCCTTCCTTCCTTCCTTCCTTCCTTCCCTCCTTTCCTTCTTTCCTTCCATCTCCCTTCCATCTTCCTTCCATGTTCCTTCCTTCCTTCCCTTCCTTCCTTTCCTTCCTTCCTTTCTTCCATCTTCCTTCCTTCCTGCATTCCATCTCCCATCCTTCCATCTCCTGTCCTTCCTTCCTCCTTCCTTCCTTCCTTCCTTCCTTTTTTTCCTTCCTTCCTTCTTTTCTTCCTTCCTTCCTGCCTGCCTGCCTGCCATGTACTGAGGTCTGGTTTGAAAGAATACAACACAACAGTATTTGTTCTTCAGTGTTGATTTACTATTAATTTTTTGTAGTCGTTGTAATGCCTTAGGTTTTCATTTTTAAAATCAACTAAGAATTCTATGTGTAAGTAACTTCGAGGCCAGAGTGCCAGTTATTCCCATCTCCAAGGCTGGATCATGTGCTCATGACTCTCTGTCACCATCTAATGACCATTTATACATATTGCAGGGCCAGTTCCTGGAAAATTGAATGCATAAAATTATCGAGAAGTTACAGCTCTGTGCTTGGATACCAGCCCCATAGAAAAGATTGGGCTTTATCATCTGTAAATTAGCAGAACTGGAAGTTTTATAGCTAGGTCTATGACTATGTGAGAATACCAAACTGTGGAGGATTGGCATCTATCAGAAGAAATGATTTATTAGCTTGTGAAAAAAATCAGTGTGGGGAGATGAATCACTTACATTAGGCCACCGAGGAGGCCTCCAGCCCTTCAAAGGGTAGGCGCTCAATACATGGGTATCTGCTTGAATGAATGACAGGATATGAGGCTCCATGCTGATGGGGAAAAAAGTCACTGAACAGGATTAGATCTGCCCTGTTCATTCAGATTCTCCCTGGGGCAGTACCCACCACCCCAGCCCAGGAACATCCGGAAATCACACAATGTTTTGTCACAATTGTGGGAATGCTACCTGCCTCTAGTGGGTAGATGGCCAGAGATGTTGGTAAACACCTTAAGTTTATAAAGCATGGGACAGTTCCAACACAAAGAATTATCCAGCTCCAAACGTCCACAGTGCTGAGGATGAGACACTCCATACCCTAGCCTAAAGTACAGTATAGGCCAGCACTGTTCTCTGACCTCTAGTATTGACCTGAGGCATAACCTACATTATTGGCTCCAACAGAGGCAGAACAAAAGGATATTGACAGCTGCTTGCAAATGCATTTCACTGGAGGGGTGCAAACCAACAGCCAGTTTACTCTCAGCTGAGTGTGGACCAACCTCGAATAGCTCCAGTTTCCCTTAGTTTATTCGATAATGTGACTTATAGCCCTGTCCACCACAGTCTCCTTGGTGACAGGACGTGGGGCACCGTATTTACTGTATGCTTTTGATGTCCAGTCTCCTTTAGTGTCCACAACTTCGCTGGTATCACATGAAGCACCTGGGTCACCTGTGCAGAAGCAGCTGCAGACACTGCCTACAGGTGCATCTTTGCACCTCACACCAAATATGCCAACTTTGAGCCTCAGTGGAACCTGGCCCAAGAATCTGCATGGAAGCCAGAATCACAGGTGATTTTGATGCATGTTAAATTTGACAGAGGTGATATGATGCAACAGAAACACGGTGCCTTCTCTTTTCTTAAACAATGTTTGCAAGTGGTTGGGAAATCACAATGGATTCTCGAGAAGTGCTTTGAAGGTATTGAGTTGATTCCATTTTAGAGTTTACAGAGTGAAGGCATCAGAAGATGCAACAGATCACTCTTAGAGAATTGCTGGTTTTCTCACCAGGAGGCCTTCCCTCACCCTTACTGGTAGATGCGGTGCTACATTCTGCCTCTACTGCCCTCTGCTGCAGTCGATGAAACAGACCGGGTGTGTTGAGGTATCACTCACCCCAAGCTTAGCGTGGACCTCAGCGTAACCATCTCGGTACCCACAGAACTGAGCAGGGCACTACGTCTATCACCACTGCCATCCCCCGTTCCAAGGCCCTGTCATTGTCACCTTGACACCAGCAACAGTGACCTAACTCGGTCCTCCCTGGCTCTGCTCAGCACCCTAGGTCATATGCATAGTTAAGCATATTCAGCTGACTTTTGAGGAAGATGTTGTCTTCCACATACACATGGAAATCTAACAGTTTCCTGCATGCTTTATCCCCAGCCTATCTTACAGGATCCTGCTTACCCAGCCCCTATCCCACCACCAGCCTGTAGCTCTTCCGTCATAACGCACACCTGCATCCTTCACACGCGTCACTTACACGGTGGCCGCTCTCCAAACACGCAGGATCATATTCCTCTCTTCTCCTTGGCCCCATTTTCCATGTTCACTCCTAAGAGATGCCTCATGTGCTCACTCTTTCACCCGCCGCTGAAATTAGATTCTGCTGTTCTCTTTCTCACTTAGGAGCCTGATTTAGCTTCTTTCATAGTATTCGTGATCCTTTTGGTTCCCTTACCGTTGCCCAGTTACCCAGTGAGGGTCCTTTCCATTGGCCCAGGAGACTGTGCTTCTCGCAGGGTACAGCAAGGATCAAAGGATCAAATAAACGCACCGAGTAACAGCCGCACAATACACTGGAGGTGCTCTGTGACGGGAATCTCTGTTTGCTTTGGCTGGTTTCTGTAGGTTTGGGTGTCCGATGACAGCGTTCAGCCTTCAGGAGCTGCAACCATGGTCACTTGGAGAGGACAGGGAGACCCAGAAGGAGGCCAAGGTGACCAGGAATCTTCACAAGCTGCAGACCAGGACTGGTTCGCTGTTTTAACCTTCCAGATGCCCGGATGTGGGAATTACAGGCACCTCTCCCCGTAGGTAGCTGGATTATTTAGAGCGCATCTCGGCCTCAGTTTCCCCATATCATCAAGGGGTTAATGATTTCCACCTGGAAAAGACAGGCCCTGCGGCCAGTGAGATAAAGCAGGGTAGCCCCTGCCACTCAGAAGGTGTTGAGACCCCAAGTATCGTGGCTCTGTTCCCAGGAGACCCGGCAAGGAGGAGGGTGCAGCGCAGGAAGGGAAATCGCCTCTTACCTGGGCCGCCCCTCCTCGGCTCATCCCTGCTTGCGCTGAAATGACGTCGCCAGGCCATACCCGGGACGCTCCCCTCCCCTCCCCCTCACGCCCACCTAGCCTCCCCGCCCCCTCCACCCCCTCCCTTGGAGCGCAGGCCGGGAATCCCACGCCCTTGCATCAGCCCGGGGGCTCGGAGGAGCCCGGGAGCTGCTGGTCGCCAATCACCGCGCGGTGGAGAGGCGGGCGCTCAGCTGCGGCGCTGGGGGAGCCAGCTGGCGCTGCTTGCCTCGGAGCCTCAGACGCTCACACCGACCCAGACAGACGCACAGACGGGCGGGCAGGCACGGACAGAGCCTCCCAGCTGTTTGCGCTGCAGCCCCGGCCCGGGAAGCCCCCTGCACCCCCGGAGCGCTGCAGGCGGCTGCTCCGCAGGCCGGCGCGCGGGGAAGGGAGGAGGAGGCCATGTGAGCGGCGGCGGCTCCCACCTGGCGCCGCACCTGGGGCGCGGAGCTCCG